GTGGGGCATCAGTCACCAAAATGTGGCTTTTTATGTGAACATGGGTGAGTCTGGAGGCCAAGAATTGTTGGCGTCCTCCCTGGCTGGGCCTCAGCAGAGCAGGGCTGCTCTCCCACCCTTTCTCTATCTAGACGGAGGTCCAGCCCTGTTAAGGCAAAGCCCACCCTCTCTTCCTGGGTTGCATCTGTCTTACATATCCCACAATGTGGTGGTCACTGTGGGTTTGGCAGGTGTTTTCCTGGGGGTGGGGAGTGGAGGAAAACTGAGCTCCACCTTGCTCCTGTTGAGTGGCAGAGTAAAGACACAGAAAGGAGAGAAAATCAAGAGGAGTGAATAACCTAGAAAGCAGGAACTGGTGCAAACAGAAATACAGATCGTCTGTCCGCAGATATCAGGAGCTTTCTGTATTTGTTTGCTTCCGGAGTAAGAATTATTGTTTGAAAGGGACAATTCCCACACTTGTCTAGAAAACAGGTGTGCTTAAGGAGACCTTCAGAGAAATGCATTGATCTGCCAACAAGGGTAACCAAAACATTGGAGGAATTAGGGTAAGTCTGCAGTTCCTCCGCTCTTCTGTAACAGAGTTGCAAATCCAGACAGCTACTGATTATTTAAATTGGAGAAAACTTCATTTTTCTGAAGGTGAATCTCTGAACAGCAGCTCCATTCAAATTCTGTAGCTGCTTTGCAAACAAGGCTCGTGCTTTTATGACTTTAAAAAAAAAATGGATTTAATGGACTGAGTTCATTTAGACAGGAGAGATCAAATGAGTGAGTGGGATCAGAATATACATCCATTTGGCGGTCAGTCATTGTTTAAGCCCCTGAACCACCCAACTTCTCTAATTAGATGGCATTGCAGTCCCTGTATAAAGGCTGGGATGGATAAATTAGTACTTGTAAGTGCTTTGAAGATGAAAATCACGATAGGAGTAATGAGCAAAGGTTTTTTTTCTTGGGCTGGAAATGGCATCTGTTGTGTTTTCTCACTGCACCGTGAGTCACCTAGGTTGACACTAGAAAACCTTCTCTCCCAAAGGAGAGCAAGAGAGACACAGCAACATGCTTTTGTTTGATTTACAAGCAAATTAGGAAAGAACCTGACTCCATTCACATCTGTATTAAGAGTTATATACCACACATTTGCTACCTATAGATGCAGTCATATTTTACACAAATTTATACATTAAGAAATCACATATTGTCTTGTTTAGACATTCATGAACACCAGAGAACTCCCAAGAGCACTGATGTTCAGCCTTGTCCCTCCTGAGAGCCTGGCTCATCTCTCAGTGTATTTAAAGCTCTGCACCTAAATCCCCCTCCCAAACCAAAGGGATGCTTGAGGTTTATCTGCTTTGAGGATGTGATTATTTTTAATAGGAGGAGCTCAGAACTGCAGACGGGGAAGGAACACATGAAGGGTTTGGCAAGCTCCAGCCCTGTCTGTCTGGGGCCAGTCTTGCCCCTTCCTAACTACCCCCACTGGCTACCTCCACTGGCTCCCCTGCAAACCAAGAACATAACTTGTTACGTGTTCCAAACTTTGCTGGGAGCCCTCTTCCCCCACATCCAAGCATCTCACTTATGTAAATTTGCTCCTGCATTGTTTTGGCAGTACGCTAATTAGTCATGCTGGATCGCCTGGGCTGCCTAATTACTGACTGCTTTGACAAGGCCCCCTCAGAAGGGTTGCATAACCCCAGTGCATTAGGATCCAAGCCGCTGGTTGCAACGCTCCTCGCTGCACCGGAGTATGGCGAGTGGTGCATCGTCTTCAGCCCTGGCAGCGCCTCACTTCTGGCAAATCAGTCACATCTGAGGGAACGAGGGCATTCACAGCATGGCCGGCAGAGAGCGGAGTGCTGGGGGGCTCTTTGTGAGGACGATGAGCAGCAATGGGGGGGGTGATGCCGTGAGGCGGAGGCTGGGTGTGCGAGGGGGAAAATGCCCCACACTGACCCAGGGTCAGTTGAAAAACTAGCTGAATTGGCTGAAGGGAAGATTCAGATAGAGGGAAGTCCAGGAGACTTGAGGGAGTTAACGGGAAAACAATTCCACTTATCTGCTTCCTGCTAGTCCGTATCCACTGACAGAGCAGAAGTAATTACAGATACTGTAGACACACTGTGGCATTAATTGTTTCAAATTGTGCTGCTTAACAACGCTTCCTGAAATGGCCCTGTGCCAGGGGCCAGAGAGCTGGTTTGAGCCAGCAGGTAACACTGTAAAGCATGGTGAGGTTGTTTGCACAGGTTTCTCACATTTTTCTTTCTCAAGAAACTCACTCCAGCCATGAGAAGGAAACAAAGGCTCGTGCTGATACTAATTTGGTCTCTGTTGAATATTAAGTATGTCATTCATACAGCTGTCTTAGTGGAGTAAGTCGACATATTTAATTGGAGGGTCTTCAGAGTTGGGCTCCTTGTAGGAGCCAAAAGCAGGGTCAGCATTGTAGATTAGAATCAATTCCGTGGACCGAAAACAAACGTTTGGAATATATTTTGCCTTCCCTGAGCACGTCGCAGGCATTAGCAATAATGGGAGCCCTGTCTGTGCATGGAGAGGAAGCATCTACCGCTCAGGCTCCCGCCTACCCTCGCCCCGGGGTGTGCAGTCCTGTGACCTTCACGGTGGGTGCTATGATTCTGGATTCATCATCTCCTTCCTTGATGCTGCTGTGCTCAGGTCAGACACACACCCAGAACCAGTGTTCTTCCCTTGTGGAAGAAAGAGGCAGAGAGGAAATGGAGATAGGAGCTGCTGAAACCTGATGAGGTGACTGAGGCTTTCGGGGCATGATGGGAAACGACTCTGGTTGCCTTTGGTGGCAGGAGTGCCATCTTTGCTAGGCTAACATTGCCCAGCTTACTAGTCTCCTCAAACTTCAGGGAATATTAGAGAGGCAAAGGGAAGGTTCAGGACCATTTTTTAGGTTCTTTTAGTCCATTCTGTATGGCTGTCAGTACAACTCAGGCACAGATGCATCAGGATAACATTAAGCCAGTCCATGAAAAAGAGTGCTGCATTTGCTATGCGAAATGGGTCACTTGCTGTTTCTATGCATACATATGCTCTGATACATTTCATTTCTTAACGTTAAGGCTGAATGAGGTACTGTAGCAGAGACAGTGAAGCACATCCCTCCCCTCTTGGCAGTATAAATCAATGGGGAGATGGCACCTTCCCCATCTGATGTGTCCACCTTTGCTGATGTGTTTCCTCCAATAACACTGACAACTTAGAATGGCCATTTTTATCTGAATGGCCATTTATACTTCTCACTTGTTCTTCCCAGAGGCCTCACTAACTGGGAGGTGGGAGTCAGCCTGACTCCTAGCCCAGCTCAGCCACCATCTAGCACTGTGACCTTGGTCCACTCACCTCTGCAAGGCTCCCTCCTCACTGCTCTAGATGAGGGCAGGAGGGCGCTCCAGTCTTTCCCTGCTCTGCATCTCTGATGACTCCACTGGTGTGGGCTTCAGCTCACAGAGAACTGAACTGAGGCAACTGAAAATCATGCCTGCAGTCTAGAGAGACTTTCTGAAGGGAAGGCAAGTTTGCAATGTAAGTGGTTTGTTTCAGTTCTGTGATTTAGCTGCTCCAAAGATTGAAATGGCAAAGGCAGGTTGTCAAGCTCTGAGCCCCTAACGAGGTCAGGGGAGCTGGCCAGAGTGCTGAAGTCAGCCTCTGTTTGCAACAGTCATCAGACCTCACTAGCTCCCCAGCTCTCATGCACAGCACCACACTGTGCTGGTCAGCATTGCTACCCCCAAGACAGTGGCAGACAAGGGTTCTCAGCAGGCTCCAGACTTACAGCATTGGGCATGTAAACAGCTAGTGGAATTTTGGAGTACATTGCATTCGACAGTTCCCAGACCTGTTACAGCTATATTTAGCTTAGGAGAGTTTGGGAATAGCTTGGAGGGAGTGCACTGCCATTCAAATAAATATTAATAGTTCAGGTCTTGGAGCAAAGAAAATATTTCTTCAGTTGTTAGTATGTACCCATGAAGGACAAAGTTCCTCAGTGCAACAAGACTTAGGGCATGAGGCTGTGATGAGCCCTCTGGAATCAGGAATCACCATTCCACTTGGGAAACGAATTCTACTTGCAGTTTAACCAAATTGAGCTTCCCAGGTGCCTAGCCAAATACTTTCTCCCCACAATTCCCGCCCCAACAATTCATTTCTCATAGATTATAGTAATCTGTCTCTTTCTTTGTTGCTGTGTAGTATACTAATGATTCTCAAAATCTTCCCCAGTTTATCCAAAACACTTGCTCCAGAACTGTACCCCTCATCAACTCATGAGTGCTCATCTCCCCACTCCAGAGAAAGCCAAATGAGTGATACCTACGGGGAAGTCTGCCCTTATTCTGGAGAAGCAGGACTGTCGCTGTTCCCCACCTCTACATTTTCTAAGTCAAGGAGGCAGTCTACATAATTCCTTTCTTTAGCCTGAGGTTCAACTTCCCCATTAACATAGACACAACACTTTACTGAAGCTGGAGTATAAGAAATTTTCTGCTTGATGTGTTTTATGTCCATTATTATTCTCCCTGCACATCACATGCCTCTTTGAGAGGCACAGGAGAATGTGTCTGGTGCAAAACTTCAGGGAGGGCCCCCCACTACTTAAAAAGAAGGAGGGAGAGAGGTGGACTCATAAAGGAATTCATTCAAAGCCTTTACCTTCCCAGGAGGTCCTGACTCCTCAGAGTTCCTTCCTGCTCTAGAAACTCCCTTTGCATCCATGAACTCAATTGCCAGCCTCCCTGGATGGCTGTTCCCCTCCTCTCTGGGTCTCCACAGTGCTGCTATGTGTCTGCTTTGTCACTGTGGCTGGAGCAGGACTGATCAGTTTCCCCCAGCTAGCCTCTCTGCTGCTCATTATTCTTGGGATGAGAACTGAGGCAGGGCAAACATTAATTAGCTCAAAGTGTGGTATGTCAAATCGATTACTGCCCCACTTCCCCAAAACAACACCACAACCACCATAATGATTTAGCTCTTGTTTCCATCAGGGGGGAGAAGTCAGAACTGCACATTTGCATATACAGACTATTCACAGCAATAAATACATGCTCCTAAGTGAGGATATTTCACAGGGAAGAAACCAAGGGCAGGGGAAGCCTCGCTCCAAGGTAACAATGGCAACTTGGTTAGTGTCCCTGGAAGAGTCTTCTTAGTGGCCTAGAACTAGAGGGCTTACCAAAACTCCCATGCAAGATACATAATCTGGTCACAAAGAAAAGTATTTCCATGCAAAGGTGGAGGCAAAGCTCTCTCTGCCCTCTGGATTCCCAGAAGGGGCAGGTAATCTATGCTTACACTGTGGGCATTCCTAAGGCTCCCTAGGTGAGCCCAAGAGGATTTGGGTGCATCTCCAGAATCCAGAGCTCATACCCCAGGGCTGGACTCCTTGGCAGTGAGCCTGCCCTGGTTCCCTGGGAATAGTAGGAGCAGCCACCAGAGCAAGCCCAATACTTGGGGAGAAGTGGGCACTGGCAGCGGAAACCTTCAGGCGCCTTCTCAGCATTCATTCTTAATCCCACCTACAGCCATTCTAGAAACAGCTGCAGACAGTGCCCAAAGGCCCCAAAGAGAAGCTGGTGGTGGGATGAGGCAGCAAGATGAGGGAAACAAGCTGCCCTCACAAGGAACAGTGCCGCTTACTGAGGAGGCAGGCAGGGGTGGCGACCCCAAGCAGAGGCAAGCGGGCTGGCTCGCATTACCTAAGCTGTGTTTGGCTGTGGTTATGCCAGTCTCTTTCAGAACCACCTCTCCTTGCAAGCCCCAGTCCTACTAATAAGCCATTGACCTTGAGTTTGAGTCGGGGCTGATTTGCTGCTCTGTCGAAGGGAAGCCCAGGGGCCTTGTGGCTTAACAAGAAGAAATCCTCCTTATTTTACCAGCAATCGTTTTTCCTCTCCTTCTGCCACAGTGATCAAATTAGCAGGCTGCTTTTCCTCCGAGAAAATGTGTCCACAGGTCCCAGGAGGCACTGCCCATTTGCCTGTCTGATGGGTTTGGGAAGAGAAAGCAGGGCTGTATGTGGGCACATGTCCCTCCCTTCCCAGCCCCAGGAGGGTCTTCTCCCACCTGGGATGGCCACCCAACCAGCAGAGAGACCAAGGGGTGGCAGGAGCTGTAGTCCTAGCTGCACGAGATCTGGCAGGTGGCGGCATACACGCTGCTGCCCACCGGGCCCCCGCTGCTCAGGCTGCTGGTGGGACACTTGAGGGGCTTCATGCTGCTGTCCCTCTGGATGTGCAAGTGCTTGAGCCGCCAGCGCTCCCAGCTCCTCCGAAACTCCGTCTGGACCTTCCGTGGGAAAAGAAGGGAAACAGAAAAACCATCAGGCAAACCAACTGCCCACAAAATAGCTCCATTATTACATTTGTAGGGAAGGGAAAAAAATCCACTGCATTATATTGAGACACAAGTCAAGGCCTTCAGGCGCCTAAATTAATATCCCAATAAAATTGTTTATTGTCTCCTATTTTCTGCCTCGCCCCAGGAGAGAGCTGGGCTTGATGATCTAATTGGTCTCTTCCATCTCTAAACTCTGACTCAGCTAAGTACCTTTTATAATCCATCACAGGATCACTTAACTTTAGAGAAGGACAGCCAGAGAAATGACGGGAGAGGGGTGACGGGAGAGTGAAGACAAGGAGGTGGGAGAATCTGACTTCAGCCCGGATGGCTGAGAAGAGGGACATCACACTCCTACCCCTACGATGACTACGCCAGGTTTCCACACCAGGCTTTTATCCCGGCCCAGGGCCTCCCGGGGAGGAAGAGGAATGAGCCTGAGACTGGGAGCCGTGAGGCGGGCCCTGCGAACAGGGGCTTCTTGGCCTGGATTTGAACTGATCTCAACTTGGAACTAGTCCAACCCACAGTGGGTGCAGTCCACTCAGCTAGGATCCCTGCCGTGCTGAGCTCAGGTCTCCTCATCAGAGGTCTTCTCAAGAGGGCTAAGGCTTGGAGACCTGGTTGTTGGGGCAGAAAGTTACAAATCCAACTGACACTGCAGAGCGCCAGTCACTTGAGAACTTGTGGCGATTCCATGGCTCCTTGGGATGGTGTATGTGATTTTGGTCTCCCAGAGGGACTGCTGGAACCTGCACATCTAGTCCGAGAGGTCTGGGGTGCTCTTCTGGGGCACGTTCCCGTAAGTGGGCTTTCTGGAGCTTCTCTGATGTCTCCCACCCTTGTTCCCAGGCCTCCTTGTGCCTGAATGTCTGGAACCTGGACTCCCCTCTCAGGCTCCAGCCACCAGGAGGTGACCAAGAGGGACTGGCTGCCACCAGCCATGGGTAAGTGGCTCACTGCCAATGCCCCCATCAGTCCCTGTGCAAACAGCCCTTTTCTCTACCTGCAAGGGCTATTAACTGTCTGGCTAAGCCCAGCAAGTTGCTTGCCATGACCACATGCACACCACCCCTTAATAGAACTTTTCTGCACTGAGCGGAGCTGAGATGGCCCAAGGCTGCCCACCAGGATGGCCCTAATATCTCAGCAGCGTCATGGAGCCCAGGCCTGGGTGCAGGAAGGTAGGCCAAGCAGACGCCACCATGGTCACCCTGCCATGTGCCACCTCACTGCCTGGTTCTGCACATGTGATATGTGTGCTAACAGCTTGGATAAGCACACCTGAGGCTTGTGCACCAAGTTAAGGATTTGTCTCACAAGACGTGGATAAAGATGGTAAACCAAGGCACATCCACTGGAAGCCACCTCAGGGACTGAAGAGGTTCTGTGGGTACCAGTAGGAAGTGGGGCTGGACCAGACTCCTCAGTGCTGACACACAGTGCCCTTCCTGCCCACATCTCCTTCAGCATTTTTTCTGAACCTCTGCTGCAATCTCTGTACTGACAGTTACAAAAACCATCATACACTGGGAGCTTACTGCACACCCAGCATTTTTCATGGGTTATTTTAGTTGACTCTCACAGCAACCCCATGAAGTAGCTCTTGTTAGTGTGTCCTGTTTAAAGGGAAGGAAGGCATTAGGTCACTGAATATAACTAAATGAGCATCTGACAGTGGGTTCCTTCTGTTACTGAGTTATTACAATGAAACAACAAAGAAGATATAGTGGATTCTGGACACCCATCCTAGCAGGTGTGCTTCCTCATATGTCATATGTGCCCTCATTCCCAGGGTCCTCCCTGGCCAGGCACTGTGCCAGGCTCAGGGATTTGGGATGAATCAGTAAGCTCGTGCACCACCATTTACACCAGGGACGGCGACTACCTGGGTCACACAGCTGGGTGGTGGCAGACCTGGGACCAGCACTCAGGCTCCTGAGTCACGAGCCATGGTGAGAGGATGTGAGCCACAGCAAAACCACCCCCAGACCTTCCCTTCCCGGGGCCCACTCCCCACTCACTGGCAGCTGGCCCAGACCTCAGCAGCCAGGCAGGACCAATGTCCAGGCCACACCTTTTCTCTCTGGGTCACAAGTACCTGGTATTGCCATGGCAACTGGGTCTGGAGAACAGCTCTTGTGGACCGAGACCTCAGCCCAGGAGCCACATGTTTTCATGGCCCAGTGCAGACTTGTGTGTGTGTCTTTGTGCCTGGAGGAGCCAGGGAAGGAGGCATTGCCAGCAGGCTCTCCTGACCCTCTGGGCAAGATCTCCTGGACCCCACAGCCTGAGCCCGGGAGAGCCCAGGGGAGAGGCCAAATGGGAATCAGTGATTCGGAGGTCAAGTTACTAGCCAAGGGCAGAGGATGTGTACCCATCCCTCCGTCCTGAAAAAGGTGGGCCAGCCTTGGGGGAGCAGCTGAGGTGGGGAGCAGGAGAGATGGGGAGTAATGGGGTGACTGGAGCAGTGGTGGGTAACCCACAAGCCACACACACACACACGCATGCATGCAGAAGTCAGGCAGTGAGCAGGTGCTGCCAGCATGGCTCTGGGGAAAGAGGACGGAGAAGGAAACGACTGGGTGGGGTGGCAAGGCTGGGGGTGGCAAGGAGGCACAAAGTGCAGAGGGAGCCTCACTCTCTCCTCATGTGCCTCTGCTCCCCATCCACACAGGGATGCCTGCCACCCTGCCCTGTGCCCCAGAAAATAAAGCAGAGCTTAGGGCCAGGGAGCACATCAGCCCTCCAGCCCAAACCATTCCTGAGGGCAACGCCACCCCAAGAGCTTGTGGTTCCTAGTATCTCAACATTTACTTCCGTTTCTCAGGAAGTTCTTTATGAGAACCAGATCTGGAATGTCCTGGTGCTTCCTGCAGATCAAATACCTGTAGGACAACGTCCCTCTGAGTGTCCCCCATACACATCTGCCTTCCCTGGCCCACCCCATGCTAAGCCTGGCCTTGCCTCCACTTCCAAGCCCCAGTAGCCCTGAAGCATCAGTGGGGAGCCCTGCTGGGGTCTACTAGCTGTGAACTGGGCTGTTTATTTCACATTGCTGAACCTTGATTTCCTCATCCGTAAAATGGGGATAACATCTGCCTATAGCCCTCCAGCCCAAACCATTCCTGAGGGCAACGCCACCCCAAGAGCTTGTGGTTCCTAGTATCTCAACATTTACTTCCGTTTCTCAGGAAGTTCTTTATGAGAACCAGATCTGGAATGTCCTGGTGCTTCCTGCAGATCAAATACCTGTAGGACAACGTCCCTCTGAGTGTCCCCCATACACATCTGCCTTCCCTGGCCCACCCCATGCTAAGCCTGGCCTTGCCTCCACTTCCAAGCCCCAGTAGCCCTGAAGCATCAGTGGGGAGCCCTGCTGGGGTCTACTAGCTGTGAACTGGGCTGTTTATTTCACATTGCTGAACCTTGATTTCCTCATCCGTAAAATGGGGATAACATCTGCCTATAGCACCAGATTTAATAAATTGGTTGAGCACCTTCTACACAGTAAGGACTCAAGAAATGTTGCTTCCCCACCCTTTTAGAGATCTCAAGTCCGCTCCATGTGCTCGTCCACTTTGTAGATGAGGAATCTGAGGTTCAGAGTGGGCACGTGACTTGCCTGAAGTCACACAGCCCACCACTGCTGCATGACATCTCTTCTTTGAGCCATTGCACAGCTCCCTGAAATACCACGGCTGCCACCCACTGCTCCCCTTGCAACCTCCACACTCGTAGCAAAAGTAAAATCTGTATGAACATGCTGACTCTTCAGATCTCTGAGCTCCAGATCCCAGATTCAGCGACAAACAAGCTACATAAAAAGCATCAGGTCTTGGAGGAGCACTGTTCTGGGGTCCCAAGAGCCCCAGCCCACTAACATCAACCCTCACCTGCACCCGAACAGAGTCCTCAGTTTCCCCCGGTCTGCGGGGTGGGGGATGCCTGCACTCCCTTCCCTGCCAGAGTTAGCCCTGTTTTGGATACTTCCCTAGGTGGCCCTGGTGCCACCTCTGGGACTATTATTTTTGTCCCCTCTGGAGGGAATCAGGGGTGGGGGTGCTGTGGCAACTGTGACACCCAGTTTAATGGCCTGGGGTTACTCCTGCACAAATCTGGGTATCCTGGAGCGAGGGCCTTCCCTAGGCACTCAAGACACAAGACAGGCCTCCTCCCAGGAGCTGACCATCTCGGACAGGGGAGGGCTGTGGCCCTGCAGGGTCTGCAGGAGCGGGTGTGGGGTCCACAAGAACCCCCTTCTTCCACTGCAGCAACCAGAAAGCCACGAGAGGGATGCACCTCCTTCCTGCAGTGGGCCAGGGCGCTTGGCCGCACACAAGGAGCGGGCGCTCCTCTCTCAGTCAGAATGCATTTGAATTCTGGTTCTGCCACTATTTACAAACCCAGAAGCAAACTCAGGACATGTTTCCTACTCTCTCTGATCTTCAATGATCTCAGGTGTGAGAAATGGGAATACTGAAACCAGAATTTTAGCAGGGATTGTTTTTGAGGAGAGGCAGTGACAATTAAATGAGACAGTGATTATTAAAGCCCCAAGGCATCTGTGTTGAATCACCCTGTAAAGGTCACCGGTTCACTCAGGACCCCCTTACCATGAGGCTGGGTCTTCCCCAAGTTCATACACAGTTAGGGTATGTATATACACACGTGTGTGTGTGTGTGTGTGTGTGTGTGTGTGTGTGTGTGAGAAAGAGACACACAACTGCAGAAGAGCCACTGGCAGCAGCCCCCAGAACCCCACTGTCCCTCCTCTGGCCTTACCTCATTGTTGACAAAGCAGTACAAGACGGCCACCATCAGCCCCTGGAAACAAGAGTCACGTCAGCAGGGAGGCGGGAGAGAGCGAGAGGTGCCCAGCAGGCAGGCCCTAGTCTGAAGCTCCGTGGGGCTCCAGCCCCAACACCCCCATCCTCAGACTGGGCAGCCCAGACAGACCCAGAGAGGGGGTGGTGAGTTCCTTCTCCTTTGCTTTCTGGAGGAACAAAAGTCCCTTTGCTCAGGTACTGCAGAAGCTCTTCAACCACCCTCTCCTTGAGAAGGCCTGACCTGAGGCAGTACCCCACCTCTGGCCACCTAAAACTAGTAGAGAAAATCAATTCTTGGCTTTGGAAACTATGTAACCTGGAAAGTCTTGTAACATCTCTGAGCCTCCATTTCCTCCTCTATAAAATGGGGACAATTCTGTATACCTCCTGGGGTTCTGTGAGGATTAAATGCACAATGTGTGTAAAGCACCCGACAGGTGCCTGCCACCCAGTAGCAGCAGTAGATGACAATTGTAGCACAAAGCTGGGTGCTCACAGCTACATCCAGGAAGGTCTCTTATCCACTGTGCTCATAGAGAAGATTTGCCTCGTGTCAGGACAATCTGGGGGTTCAAGCTCTGGATCTGCTCCAACCATGTGATTTTGGGCAAGGGCTACTGTCCCCCACCAGGCCCTAGGCCGCCCATCTGCATGATGCAGGTTGGTCTGTGCACCGCCCCCCCAACTCTAGGACTTGGCAGGAGAGGACCCCCAGTGTGAGGTCACCTGGAAGGAAGTGAAGGAGAGCTCTGTGAACAGCTTGATGAAACGCAGCATCCCCCGGGCATGCTCGTCCATCACGAAGGCAAAGATGACCTCATGGGTCCCCAGCAGAGGGATGAGCGTCAGTGTGGACTTGGCAAGTCTGGGGTGGGGTGAAGATGTCATTCTAGACCTCTCCCACAGACTCTTCTCCCCTTCTGGTGCCTCCATCCCCCACCAAGACCTGGCATCTGGGGCGCAGACACCTTCCCACCCCAAGTATCCTGGGACAGGCTGCCTGGAGGGGAAGTAGTAGAGGTCAAGACCCCCTAGAAGCCCAAAACTACCCAGGTCCAGGGGAGAGAGCAAAGCTTGGCTGGGCCAGAGAAGATCATGGAGGGTTCCAAGCTGAGCAGCCCGTGTCTGCTGGAAGGGAGAGCTGAGGGTGCCCAGCACAGCCAGCTCAGTTGCGTCACCTGCACTTGATGTCAGTCTTGCACATGAGATTGGCTTTCAGTTTGGACACCACAATGCAGATGACCCGGACAAAGATGAGGAAGTTCATCTGCAGGGCAGACAGGTGGACGGCTGGAGGCCCTCTCAAGATGCCCTCTCTCCCCACTTCTTTCCCCAGCACTGCCAGGTGCACCCTAACTGCTGCTCCCTGACACACTGTCACTCACCCCAATGGCAAAGAGAATGGGCAGCCGGATAATGAGCCAGATGTTCATGTTTGAGTTCCTGGTCCAGCAGCTGGAGAGGGGAGAGAGACACACACAGGAGGCCAGTGGGACCCACAGAGACCACAGCTCCCAGTGCAGGCACAGGGGCACCCTAAGTGACACGCAGAGCCAGATGACCAGGAGCTACTCAACAACCAGTCCCACACACACACACACAGTCCTTCAAGCCACACACACATGCACATACACAGCCCCAAACACATGGTCACACACACATAGACAGACATGGCTCCTTTACGAACCTACCAACACAATCGTATGTACATCACACAAAAATGAAACATTTCACCCAGATTTTACAGAGGAACCTGCAGGGGCATGTATCCCACCGACACAGCATTTGTCAACATACAACTCTGGGGAGGCAGCAGGTGGGGGGATAGGTGGTGGTGGTGGGTAGAGAAATAAATTTGCACATTAAGCTCCTGGTCCCTCCACTTATCCTCTCAACAGGTCATGGCCCAGCACCCCAAGGGCCAAGGATTCCCATAGGGTTTGAGGATGGGGACCTCAGCACACTGATGCATCAGAGCAGGAAACTCACCCTTCGTCCTCATAGAGGTGCTTGACAATGCCCCAGGGGACAACAAACAGCAGGGGGACACCTGAGAGGAGAGACAGGGAGGGAGGGAAGGGGCTGGCAGGCCAGAGCCACCACCGTGCACACCCAGATGCTTCTCCCACCTCCACCCCTTCACCCTCCTGGCCCAAACCACGCTTTCCAGCATGTATGGGTCTATGTTGGTCTGGATGCCTGGGAGAGCAGAGGTGGGTGGAGCCCCCTCCCTGATTCCCCCAACTCCTCCTTAGAGGTCCCACCACACTGCAGCTGGGTTACAGTCCTCCCCAGGCGGCCCCCTCCCATGGGCCAGGCACACAGTCAGGGCTTGTCCCAGGGTCCTAGCTGAGATGGGAGGGCTCGGACACCCAAGGAGCACAGGGACAGGGTCACAGGGTGGGGGGAATGTGCTGGATGAGGTGGGAACAGGCCAACTCTGATGTCCTTGCTGCCCAGCCCACATGCCCATCTCAGTTCACTCCTTCGCGCACTGGAAGCCCCTCCAATTATCTGTTCCCTGCCTGTGAGCGCCTGCAAGCCGTCGGGCAGAAGCCTGGAACTGAGGCAGGAGCCCTATCCATGATGCTGAAAGTGCAGTGAATGGGCGGTGGCCCACAGTGAAAACAGCTCCAACAGCCTCCCTTTCCGCCCAGGTGAGACCCAACTGGTGCACCAGGCAGCTTCTAGGTGGCCCCCAATGATCCCACCTCCTGGTATTCACACCCTGGTGCAGCCCCCATTGTATCAGGATTGGTCCGTGTGACCAGTGATGGACGTGATGGCATGCCACTTCTCAAAGACTGTCTTAAAGGTTATAAAAGGCTTGTCTTGGGCTCCCTCATCTGATCACTTGCGCTGTGGGACACCAGTTGCCACTTCCAAGAACCAGCAGGGACCTAAGTGTCCTGCCAACAACCCCGAATGGCCAACCCCAGTGAAGCCTTGAGATGTCAACAGCCCCAGCTAACAGCTTGACATCTGTTAGAAATCCTGAGCCAGGGGCACACAGCTAAGTTGAACCCAGATTCCTGGACACAGAAACTGTGTGATATACTTGCTTGAAGCTTCTAAGTTGTGGGGGTCATTTGTTATGAAGCAATAGATACTAATTCAGCTGGTTTCCAGTTCCTTAAGGGTAGAACCTCATTCATCTTCAGAGCCTCAGTGCTCAGCACACTGAGAGCTCCATGTGTGTTTGCTGACTTAAAATTGGACTGTCCACGTTCACATAACAGATGGAGATGGGTCAGGCACTCAGGAGAGTACAGGTGGTTCTAGAATGCAAGGCTGCAATCCTATGCTCATGTCAACCACCCTAAATGGCTTCTGCAGCACCTCTCTCCATGCCTGCCTGTTGGCATTGCTCTCAAAGTTGGAGGGGTATGTGCCTGAGATAGAGTGCATATTAAAGTGTGTGGTCACAGGCGTGTGTTGCTGGTGGAGGGGTCCATGCATCTATGTGGCTTTGGGGGGATCTGCCCCAGTAGCACTTTTCCAGGGCAGAACCCACTTCACAGCTCTGCAGGGGCATGTATCCCACCGACACAGCATTTGTCAACATACAACTCTGGGGAGGCAGCAGGTGGGGGGATAGGTGGTGGTGGTGGGTAGAGAAATAAATTTGCACATTAAGCTCCTGGTCCCTCCACTTATCCTCTCAACAGGTCATGGCCCAGCACCCCAAGGGCCAAGGATTCCCATAGGGTTTGAGGATGGGGACCTCAGCACACTGATGCATCAGAGCAGGAAACTCACCCTTCGTCCTCATAGAGGTGCTTGACAATGCCCCAGGGGACAACAAACAGCAGGGGGACACCTGAGAGGAGAGACAGGGAGGGAGGGAAGGGGCTGGCAGGCCAGAGCCACCACCGTGCACACCCAGATGCTTCTCCCACCTCCACCCCTTCACCCTCCTGGCCCAAACCACGCTTTCCAGCATGTATGGGCCTATGTTGGTCTGGATGCCTGGGAGAGCAGAGGTGGGAGGAGCCCCCTCCCTGATTCCCCCAACTCCTCCTTAGAGGTCCCACCACACTGCAGCTGGGTTACAGTCCTCCCCAGGCGGCCCCCTCCCATGGGCCAGGCACACAGTCAGGGCTTGTCCCAGGGTCCTAGCTGAGATGGGAGGGCTCGGACACCCAAGGAGCACAGGGACAGGGTCACAGGGTGGGGGGAATGTGCTGGATGAGGTGGGAACAGGCCAACTCTGATGTCCTTGCTGCCCAGCCCACACGCCCATCTCAGTTCACTCCTTCGCGCACTGGAAGCCCCTCCAATTATCTGTTCCCTGCCTGTGAGCGCCTGCAAGCCGTCGGGCAGAAGCCTGGAACTGAGGCAGGAGCCCTATCCATGATGCCGAAAGTGCAGTGAATGGGCGGTGGCCCACAGTGAAAACAGCTCCAACAGCCTCCCTTTCCGCCCAGGTGAGACCCAACTGGTGCACCAGGCAGCTTCTAGGTGGCCCCCAATGATCCCACCTCCTGGTATTCACACCCTGGTGCAGCCCCCATTGTATCAGGATTGGTCCGTGTGACCAGTGATGGACGTGATGGCATGCCACTTCTCAAAGACTGTCTTAAAGGTTATAAAAGGCTTGTCTTGGGCTCCCTCATCTGATCACTTGCGCTGTGGGACACCAGTTGCCACTTCCAAGAACCAGCAGGGACCTAAGTGTCCTGCCAACAACCCCGAATGGCCAACCCCAGTGAAGCCTTGAGATGTCAACAGCCCCAGCTAACAGCTTGACATCTGTTAGAAATCCTGAGCCAGGGGCACACAGCTAAGTTGAACCCAGATTCCTGGACACAGAAACTGTGTGATATACTTGCTTGAAGCTTCTAAGTTGTGGGGGTCATTTGTTATGAAGCAATAGATACTAATTCAGCTGGTTTCCAGTTCCTTAAGGGTAGAACCTCATTCATCTTCAGAGCCTCAGTGCTCAGCACACTGAGAGCTCCATGTGTGTTTGCTGACTTAAAATTGGACTGTCCACGTTCACATAACAGATGGAGATGGGTCAGGCACTCAGGAGAGTACAGGTGGTTCTAGAATGCAAGGCTGCAATCCTATGCTCATGTCAACCACCCTAAATGGCTTCTGCAGCACCTCTCTCCATGCCTGCCTGTTGGCATTGCTCTCAAAGTTGGAGGGGTATGTGCCTGAGATAGAGTGCATATTAAAGTGTGTGGTCACAGGCGTGTGTTGCTGGTGGAGGGGTCCATGCATCTATGTGGCTTTGGGGGGATCTGCCCCAGTAGCACTTTTCCAGGGCAGAACCCACTTCACAGCTCTTTCTGTAACTTTCATCCATAACCTGAACACCTGGCTGTCCACTCAGTGGCAGCTGTGCAGTTCACACACCTGGAGCTGCCGTGCTGGATGGTGGCAGACAGGGACTGGGGAAGCAGGAAATTAACAGCTGTCCAGCATTCTTCATCTGGTATCTCTTTCCTTGGCCATTTATTTTTACACAAACCAGACCTCTCGTCAACCACATGCTTTAGTAACAGGCCTTTGTGAGACTGGGTAAGGGATCAACGGCCTCCAAAGGCCCCAGCACGTAGCACGGAGCCTGCCATGTAGAAGATGCTCAGTGAGACTGGAATGAATGAATGAATGAATAATAAGGGAGTCAAATATATCAATGAGAGAAGGGAAGCTCTCCAGGCAAGAACACACTTATTCCCAGAGTCACACACATGTATGGACACCTCCTCCTTGTGTATCCCCAACCACCTGCTGTCCTTTCTGAGACTGAATCCAGAATCAAGGGCTCATTCACATTATCAGCCAGACCTGGCAAACTTGATTCATTCACCAGCATCTCCTTAACAAAGCCTTTTAGGAAATGCAAACACAGCTCTGCTGTACACAAACATCACACACTCCCTGGCTGGCGTCATCTTTCTCCCATTTTGAAAATCATCAAGACAGGCTGGAGAAAAAGGCTTGAATTAAGACAACAAACCACGGGCTCTGAGAAGTAATGGCTGCTCCGTCCATCACTTGCCTCCCTCTTCTGCAGCATCCCTGTAGTGGGTAACGGGGGCACCTGTCTGCTGAAAGACGGCAGCACAAGCTGACATGCCTTCTGGGGACTCCCCCAACTGTCAGGGTCCTAGTTTTCATTCTTCTTGCACACAAGGCTGACAGTTGTTTCCTAAGCATCCCAACTTGGCCTAGGCCCCCTGGCAGCACAAGAGAACTCTAGGCTCTCTGTGAATCTCTCTGTCCTTCTGTCTTTGTACCTCTCTCTCTCTCCCCATCCCAATTCCTCAAGAAAAGGGTGTTCTCATTTGGGGGTGGCTGGCATCCTCTGGGTCCTGCTCTTGTGCTTCCTCAGGCTCTGAGCCCTGAGCTGGGGCAGGAGGTGGTGGGAAAGGACTGGCACTGCCTCCTCCATTTCCCAGAGGCCTCAGGGCACCACCAGCCCTCCACCCAGCGCCCCTCTCTTCTGCATGAATCACACCCACCCTATGACTGTTCCCGCTCTAGGGTCACCATGGTGACAGTCACTAACAGAGCTGATGCTGTTTCCCAGAAGGGACAGACACCATCTCCTGCCCTGAAGATGGCCTTCCCAGTGCACCCCTTGATGACCCACTCTGCCTCCACCGCTAGTTAGCAGCAGGGAGCTCTAGCTGCCCGCTACCAGCTGGCCTGCCTGAGCATGAAGAAGAGGCCTGGGGGGGGTGGAGGAAAGCAAAGTAGGAGGGGCTGGGCCCCAGAGGAAGAGGGGGGAAGGGTGGGAGCACGGAGCTGTGTGCAGAGACCAGGCCACCTGCCCACCTTTGCAGAGGCCGGAGCTGGCTCAGATGCGCCCTCAGCAAACTGAAGAGAAGCCGCTCAGCACAGGCCAGAGAACTCTGCAGGCCAGGCGGCAGGGCCCGGAGCCCGGAATCAGGAGGCGGCGTTCTGTGCTGCTCTGCCTGTGAGGCCCTGCCCTTTCTGGGCCTCCGTACCCTCCAGACATTGACCACATTAAATCCCCCTTAGAGGTACTCTTCTACAACAGGGCTTTATAGAGCCACATGCCCAGGGAACACCAGTAGAAAGGAATGAAGTGTGAAAACAACAGCAGGGAGGCCAAGGGGCCAGGCGACCTGAGGAGGGCGTCGGACCAGGACAGCCTTGCAAAAGCTCAGGGGTTGGGAGCCGGCATGGGAGGGGGGACATCGAGGGAGGAGTGTGTCTATGACTGAGGCAGGAAGTCCCCGGAGGTCAGGGGGCAGCAGTGGTCAGAGCATCCGAGGTAGGTGAATGAATGAATGGAATGAATGAATGAACAGCAAGCTCGAGGCAGAGGACAGGATCCTGTGGTGTCTGGGCCAGAGGGCAGGGCCTGTTCTCTGGCTCCACTGCAGGTGGACGCCCTTGGACCCCTGCAGAGTAAGCACCGCTGCATCTGCTTTCCCAGTAGTGGGGGGCGGGGTGGCTGGGAGGCTGTGGGTGGGGGTCCCAGCCCCTGCCCATCCCATCTGTCCTCATTGGAATCCCACGTGGTGAGAGGCAGAAGCACAACCAGAAATGTTACAGCAAAAAAAAAAGACACAATAGTTCTCAGTAAACTTTTTTGGCTAGAACATTTCCAGCTGGGCTCCAGGCACATCCACGGTCTGCCCTCTCCTCACTGGCCTCTGGCCACCCCACCCTGCTCTGCTCAACTGGGAGCCCTTCTCTTCATCGTGGTGTGACAAAGCCATGGCCCCTCAGGCCCACCCCCAGTGGCCCCCCGGCCCTGAGGCACAGGACTCTCCATTTCCCTCAGGGCCTGAGTTTCCCAGGACACGGGTGTAGGGCTCCATCCACAAATGGTTTAGGAACAGGAGTATTTGAGGACAGTGCCGTGAGTGCCAATAGCATGTGTGGTATGCTTGGCCGGATGAGGGGAGGCCTCTGCTTCCCTTAAGGGAAGAGAACTTTGCAGAGAGGGGAGGGTCACCATAACCTGCTGCAGGTCCTGACAGCCCCATCTGCAGTGAGTTACCTGTGGGCCCTGCCCTGAGCCCTGCAGTGTTCTGAGGACCAAGGGGCTTCCTGGGGGTAGCCGGTAGGAGCCTTTGGTCTCCCATCCCCCATGCACAGGTTGGGGTGGGGGCGAGGTGAATGGTGCCTTACCCCAGCCTATGCTCAGATAGCGCCTGAAGATGCGCTGCTCAGAGAAGACTGACAGGGCCAGCAGCATGTACAGGTACACGCCCTCCACCAGGAGCCAGTAGTAGTTGGCCGCCACGCAGTACTGCATGAGCAGGAACACCAGGCGGCAGCCCAGAGAGTCCTGGGGGCAGAGGGAGGGGCCGGGGGACAACAGCTCTGCCCCCTGCTTCTCGAGGGCCCCCCTCCCTGCCCTGTCCCAGCTGCCTTCCTGCCATGGAGAATGCAGGATGAGGGCGCTAACACTTCTGGTCACAGCCAGTGCTAAGAATCTGACTTGCTCTAGCTCACTGAATCCTCACTATCCTGCAAGGAAGAAACTGTTATTATCCCCATACAGGGCAGAAAACTGAGGCTCAGAAAAGTTAAATGACTTGCCCAAAACTATACAGCTAGTAAATGGCAGAGCCAGAAGTCAAACCCTGGTCTGTCTCCAAAGACCATCTGCGTCCTACTGTGAACCCCCTAAGGACAGGGGCTGGGTCTGTCTCCTTAGACTGGGGGCTCCCCACGGAGGACTGCCTCTCCCATCAGACCAGGGGCTCTCTGAGGACCTGGCCTGGGTACCTCTTGCCTTTCTTTGTGCTAGATCTGGGTGGGGTGGGAGGCCGGCCTTAATGTCCATCCATCTCTCCCCAGGCCCTTCCTGGGCACACCACACACCTGGTAGGAGAGGAGCCCGTCCCACTGGTGCTGCTGGGCGGCCGTGCTGTACATCCATTTGAGGGCTGCATCCTTGATGAAGACTGACAGTGCTCGGAGGATGAAGGATAAAAACAGGTTCAGGTGGATGTAGTTTCGGGTGCAGTGTAGGTGTCTGTGGGAGAAAGCAGGGCCCTTCTCTGGTGAGATGGCCAACAGTTCTGCTCCACAACCCGGGTTCTCAGGCTAACACACACCTCAGACATTTTTCTGGGGCTTGGACTAGGCTTCGGACTTCCTTCCTTTGAGAATGCCCTTCCTCCCCATAGCCTTGAAAATCCTTGGTGTCCAACTTAAGTCCTGACTCTCCACAAAGTCTTCAACTGTGCGGGCACTGCCCACCCTGACCCTCTCCCCATCCACATCCTAGCCTTCTCTCTGTGGCAACTTCCTTTCTACAAAGCCACATATAACCCAAGTGATTTATGTGTAAGGCACACTCTCCCCATGGGAACTTTTGCTTTGCCTCTTGATGACAAGGCCATGTCTTACATGCCTCTGGGCTTCCTGACAGAGGCAGATTGGGGCTAAGCACATGGAAAAATTTATAAAGTATCAGATACACTTTCAATATCTTTTCATGTAAAAACAAATAGCACACTGGAAATATGAGGGCATTTCTTAACCTGATAAGGGCTATCTACCAAACCAGGAGCAAACATCATTCTGACGTGAGAAATTTAGGAAGGATTCCTTTTCAAGGAAATAGGAAAATAATAGGAAACAGGAAAATAAGGATCCTCTAGCTTTAAGAAATATCATCACATATATTTATCATTGCACTATACAGATCCTAGTCATTGTAAAAAGGCAAGGGGGGAAAATGCGTAATAAATGGAAATAAACAAAATTGTCACAATTTGTAGACAATAGATTATCTTCATAGAAAATCCAAGAGAATTCACACATAAATTGCTAGAACTAATAAAAAGAGTTTGTTCAGCAGGGTTGCTGATATGTATGTTCACATATCAGCTATAAACTATAAAGTCAAGTTTTAAAAATTCATTTACAAAAATAACTCCAGGGCAAAAGATGGCGGCGTGAGTAGAGCAGAGGAACTCTCCTCCCAAAACCACATAGAATTATGAAAATATAACAAAGACAACTTCCTAAAATAGAGACCAGAGGACACAGGACAACATCCAAACCACATCCACACCTGCGAGAACCCAGCGCCTTGCGAAGGGGTAAGATACAAGCCCCGGCCCGGCGGGACCCGAGTGCCCCTCCCCCTGGCTCCCAGCGGGTGGAAAGAAACCGGAGCGGTTTTTTTTCTTTTTTTTTGGCAAGTGCTTTTTGGAAGCCTTAAAGGGACAGGGA